CGAGTCGCCAGCAGATTACACACACAGCGTGCTACGGACGCCGGGGTCATGTTTACTACCTTGATACTAGAGCGTGACCTCGCGCGGCATGCCGGGAACTCATAGGTAGCGTGTTGATGTCACATCCCTAGCATCCGACTTTCGAAATCACCAAGGATTGTATATCTTGAGTTTTGATACCCTTTTCACGAGACTATTCCAGCCGATTTGCACATTTGTAGTTTACAGTAGCATTTATGATTCGGTAAGTTGCCGACACGGTCAAATTCCGTGTTTATTGCGGAAATGTGACCCAAATATATTTTGAACGCCGATAGCGGCGGCCATTTTCCTCTGTCAGCAGAGCAAAATCGATAAAGTAGCACTCAAGACTCAGTGTGTAAGGTTTCACTTTTATATTTGTCTTTTCTTAATCTCACGAAATAATTTTTAAAAGAGTTTCCTTTATCTACTCATTTATTGTGTGTAAATATTTAGTGGTACTCAAGTTTGCTTTTCTTTTGTGACACTACTGTCTCCAAAGATTTGAATCAAGATCGTCGCTTCCGCAATTCGACTTGCTAAATTTCTACCTGCACTTCCTGGAGTTTCGATGTTTGAGATTAGGAAGGGCACGGCAGTTGAGTTTTTGATACTTTGTTTTTATAGATTCGCCTTAATTTTGTTATCTTATTGGCTAATTATTAAAGTTATAAACTTTAGAAATAGAGATAGTCTAGTAAAGTTGCTGTTATTTGTTTTATTGTTGCAGTTGGATAGTTTAAACTTGATAAACTTGATTGACGTTGAGGGCTGGCCCGGTGGATTAGGCCGTGTAGGAAGTTCAACAGGAAATTATTATAATGATGTTGTGATCTATTTGCTGGTATCATTACTGTGATGTCTGTTACTTGTCCTAATATTTGTCACTGATCATGCTTTGTAAAGTCCTATTGGATTTAGGTTTTACCTAGATCTATAGGCCTAATCTGTACCTTGGTTAAACTAGATTCTAGACTTGAAGACAAATGAACATGGTCTGCTACCCCCCTACTGTCTCAAGAAAAGGCCAAGGATTGTCATTGAGTTGAGAGACTTGGAGTTCAGTCTTCTTTTTTTCTTTCTAGAACTCTATTGCAGATGTTTTTCCAGCTCTGTGTTTTAACTGGACATTTTTATGAACCAGGTTTTTCAAGTTCAGTTATTTCCTTTTAGTTAGAGATTATCATAAATCTAGATCTAGTCTAGATCTAGATACTTGATCTACTCACTCTGGATTTTTTTTTCATTTCCTTTACTTAAATAAAAAGTTTGAGAAGGGAAAAAAAAGTAGTTGTAGGCTTGCATTTTTCCTCATTTCCTGATCTGATTTTTGTGCCTCTATGTGATGTTTCCTCCTGTTTACGTAAGTGAAAGTGTTCCTACTATTTAAGCTTTGAAGCCTATTTAGATCTTTTTGATTGCACATAGGTCTACACCTCTATGTTATTTCAGTTCTTGTATTACATTTTTGGAAGACAATCTTATTGAATTGATATTGTAAAGGCTCTTGGGCCCTACATTTTTTTTGGGTGTGCATGTTGGGTTTTAACCGCTCCAACAAGTTGCATGCATCGTCACTGATGATATAATGCAAAGCTCCATGATTGTTTACACATAAATTACTAAAAGTTGGTTCTGTTTGTTGTTGGAAATGTAAAGCTTCTTTTGCGAGGTTGGTCCACTAGAGGCAATCAAAGTAGACGGAAAGGGACATTCACACTCCCGCTTTCCTCAACAGTTTCTTTCATGCTCTTGTTTTAGCTCTTTGGTTACATCTGATCTATTGATTGTTTTGTTGCCGAGGGCCGTAGAAGCTAGCTACTCTATTATCCGCAAGATCTGGATCAAAGGAGCGATTTCTGTCTAATTTGTGTGTTCCAAACTTTGTACTACTGTGAGTAGTTAACGGATGCTCGTGTCTGGTTTGCTCTCATCCTACTTTCGTATCACAGACATCTCTGTCGTTTTTATCTCTCCTCCTGTGGGTGGTTGCCGGGTGCTCTGGTGTGGTTTGCTTCTTCTTTCCTATCAAACATCTACCGACCTTATTTCCCCTCCTTTTTTATTTATGTTTGTTACTCTCTTGTAACACCTCTAATCTTCAGGCGCTCATATGACCTTATGCAGTTGTGAGCGCCTTAAAACCTCTATTCAAACTTTTAAAAAGGGAGAAACAGGAAGTGGTTGTCTGTACAGGTGATTGACTTGTACCGGTGGCCATTAGAGTAAGATGGATGATAGTTGTGTTGTTAAGGCAACAAGGAAGCTGCATTTCAGCAGCATAGAAGTATGATCTCTTTTTTTTAGCTTTTTCTGTCCTCCTCCTTCTCTCTCTCTGTCTCTCTCTCTCTCTCTCTCTCTGTCTCTCTCTCTCTCTCTCTCTCTCTCTCTCTCTCTCTCTCTCTCTCTCTCTCTCTCTCTCTCTCTCTCTCTCTGGTGTCTCTCTCTTTCCTTCTCCCTCTCCTTCCTTCTCCCTCTCCTTCCTTTCTCTCTCTCTCTCTCTCCCCTCCCCCCTCCTTTTCTCCCTCTCTCTGAGATAAAAATCGCTCAGAAATGCGGCAAGATTTAGATGGGTTTTTTATTAATAAATAAACATTATGGATTGCTTGGAAAACTGGGAGAACGGAGATTGTTTACTGCTTGGTGTTGTGGCTGTTCCAGGGTCAAATTTCCCATAACTGACAGCTCTCAGAGGGAAAGTGCGAGACTTCACATTGGCGATTTATAGACGTAATTCGTAGGACATGAAGACAGAGATGCACACAAATTTGAAAATGGAAGTCGTCGTCTTTTTTTTTTTTTAGTAGAGGTTTTACGGCGCTCGCAACTGCACATGAGTGCCAGAGTCATCATCTGAGATTCATGACCAAAATGTTCTTTCCTTTCTTTCTGTTTTCAGATTATTGATGAGAAGAGCCCGAGCAAGATGAGCAATAAATCCCCACAGAAGCAGTCGCCGGCTAAGGCTGGCGGCAAAGGTGTCACATGCAATGTCGTCCTGCTGGATGGAGAAAATCTGGAAGTTCCGCTGGACGTAAGTCTTTTCTTGTTTCTCATTACAGTCACTATGTGCAAATATAGCATGTACACGGCGAAATGGAAAGGATGTGGAAATCTTTTCGCTTTATGTCCGGATTTTGCTATATGTTTTTAATACTTGTAAAGGATACACACTGTGTTTTTTAAAAATATTTAAGAGCCAAAAATCTGTTCGCTATAATTTGCGTGCTGGAGTGTTTGAAAGTGCAATGTCAAAACAAGAGATTTCTTTGGGGGAGGGGGCTAGTCTTTATTATTCTCTGTTACTACTCTTTTGTTTTCTTTTGCTTCGTTCAGAATATCAAAAAAAAAAGTTGGCGGCAATGGCTTTGTAAATCTGGTATTTTTACACCCAAGTGAGACTTTTCAGCCAATATCCAAATCTATTTGTCTCTGCTTTTGAATTTTATTGTTCATTGTAATAGACATCTTAAAACACTTTTGTGATTTTCTGTGGTAATTGAAAACTTTTGCTTTAACTCTAAGAAGTTGGTAGGTCTATTAGCAAGATGCTGCACTGTTGTTTTTTTTATTGCTTTCCTCGTTATATCCGAAATATCTGCTTCCCTGCACTAAAACTGTTTCCTTACATGCCAAAACTTCATGCTGTTCTGAAAATTTGGTTGGTACAATAAATGAAACCAATTTTATATATATATTTAAGCTGGAAATAAGAAAGTTTGCATTATATATTTTAAACTTAACTTGCTTGCGACAAAATAGAGCAAAGGGTTTTATAATGTATACCATCTCCGTTAATTTTGTTTGTCTCTTTTCTTTTCCCACTGTGTCCGTCTCTGTTAATTTTGTTTGTCTTTTCTCTTTCTACCTTTTCCGTGTCTGTTAATTTTGTTTTTCTCGTCCCACCTTTTCCATCTCGATAATTTTGTTTTGTGTTTTGTTCCCCTCCCCCCCCCCCCCCCCCCCAGAAAAACGATGTTGGCCGAGTGCTGTTTGACAAAGTGTGCCAGCACCTGGACCTGATAGAGCGGGATTACTTCGGCTTCACCTACACGGACGACCGAGGACCATCACATCTCAAAGTGAGCAGGGGTGGGGGGTATTTGTCGTGAGTGTTTGAAAATACTAATAATAATGGTGGTGGTTGGCGGGTGCTCTGGTGTGGTTTGCTCCTTCTTTCCTATCATCAAACATCTATCGTCCTTATCTCCCCCTCCTTATTTTTTATGATGCTACTTTCTTGTAAAACCACTAATCTTCGGCTTTTATATGACCTTGTTGTGTTGCAAGTGACTTGAAACTTTTTCCAAAAAAAAACTCGTACTAAAACTAAAACTCATTAGTATTTTTGTTAAAAAGGCAAGGTGGGGAGTGGTCATTTGTACAGGTGGTTGTCTTGGACATGTGCCCGTTACAGCAGGCTTGACTGTACTTTAATTTTATTTCAGTTTCATATGATAAGATATAGTTAAAAGGAAAAAAGGAAACTGTGTGGGTGGTTAGCGGGTGCTCTAGTGTGGTTTGCTTCTTCTTTCCTATCAAACATCTATCCTCCTTATCTCCCCTCCTCCTTTTTTATGTTTGTTACTCTCTTGTAACACCTCTAATCTTCTGGCGCTCATATGACCTTATTCTGTTGCGAGCGTTGTAAAACCTCTACCAAAATGAAACAAACTATGTTTATACGTGTGACTTTGTGTCTGATAGAGTGTGTCCTGTGGTTTAACAGTACCGTGTGTAAATGCTCATCTTAAAGAGTCGTTGATGTATAGATCTAGTTGCAGGTGTTTGCATTAAGTGACTGTATTTGTATTTTTCTTGAAGCATTTCAATAAATGTTGTGTGTACTGACATGACAAACTAAGCAACTTCTCACTATCCGTAAATGGAGATATCGACCAAAATACGACAAAAGGGTCAAACCTGTAGATTTCAGCCGATGCGTGTTCTTCAAGTTAATAAACTTGTCTTTTATCGTTTTATTCTAAGTAAAGCGTTTAAACTCAATTTATAATATAAATTTAACTTATCTATTTCTGTAGGGCTAGAATCCGAGAAATAAGTCGTTTTGTCAGCACACCTTTCAATTGTAAATGTTTGTCAGAATTCCTGGAATTAATTGTGTGTTTTTCTGTTGTCCCCAGTACTGGTTGAATTTAGACAAGAAGATTTCCAAACAGAAGAAACGTGAGTATGATCTCTGTGCTGTGAGAAGAATCCTCCGTTCTCTTCATGTTATAATAATAATAATAATAGTAATTACATTTTATATATATAGCACATGTCCACACTCGAAAGCATGCTCTATTTGCTTAACAACTATTGAGCTATTATTATTACCCCAGCAGATCCTAGAACACTCAACTTAACATTCTTGGCTTCCCGGGAAGCATACAGTGCAAGCTGTAGATTGCACATGCTCAAACATTACATTAACAAACTGAGACAAGATAATGATACTATATATAAGAAAGATCACTTTTTTCACAGCACTCACTCCCAGGTGGCTCCAGGCACTTCACAGTTTGAAAAGATAAATGTGACAGCTAACATAATGACATGTTTCATGCAAACAGACTCATTCAACACACAAGAATCCTTTCAAATACATACACCCGTAATCTGACGAAAGAAAACGCACACACGAAAAGACGATCCCTGTGGGTACTGATCACAGTTGTTATTGAAAGAAGAATCCAACTAGCAGGAGATGTAGGATTTACATAAATGTGTTTTTACACCAGATTTTAATAAATGTGTTTTAGACCAGGTTTAAATTATGATTTAAGTAAATGTGTTTTTACACCAGATTTAAATGATTTTAAATAAATGAATTTTTAGACCAGATCTTAATAAATGTGTCAATGATTTAAATAAATGTATTTTTAGACCAGATTTTAATAAAAGTGTTTTTAGACCAGATTTAAATGATTTAAATAAAATTGTTTTTAGACCAGATTTTAATGATTTAAATAAGTGTTTTTAGACCAGATTTAAATGATTTAAATAAAATTGTTTTTAGACCAGATTTTAATGATTTAAATAAATGTGTTTTAGACCAGATTTAAATGATTTAAATAAATGTGTTTTTAGACCAGATTTTAATAAAAATGTTTTTCGACCAGATTTAAATGATTTCAATAATGTGGGTTAGGACCAGATTTAAATGATATAAATAAATGTGTTTTTAGACCAGATTTAAGTGCGGTCCAAGTAGGCTCTTCTCTTTCTACTACTAATATTGTGGCTGTGAGGCCGGAGCCCCATGGTAGTGTTTGTTTGATTTCATGGGCTCCTGTTGACTCAAGACTATTGCTGGCTAGCCTAGGGGAGGGACATTTCCACAGGCGTGGGGATCAGATATTCAAACAATTCCTTCCCCCCTCGCACACCATCGCAAAAATTCTGCTAGGAAGGCTTAGGCCCTCGCAGAAAGGGACTCGGTGTAATGAAGCATACAGGATGGGGAGATGGAATACAGAAATGTAGTGAATGTGGGGGGCAGAGGGAGGGGTTGGGGGGGCGGGGTGTCTCTCTGTGGCTCAAGTGTCGCTGTCTTTGAATAATATTTTCCAAAACCTGTTCTCACTTCACTTAGTTAGATCTGATGTCAAGTTGATTTGGCAGTTGGGTTGTAACAGAATCATCTCACATGATGGGTCACAATGGTCCGTGTAGTGAGAGAAGAGTGCAAGCAAAGACTTCCTTTTTAGGAAGTGCTTGCTTTTTTTTTTTAGCCACAACTATAAGTTCAAAATCTTGTTATTTGTTATTCTAAAGTTAAATTTAATTAGCAACTTTGAAGTTTTGAAGTAATATATAAAGCAGACAGCATTTTTAAGCTTGACAGTTATTTATGGTATGTAGCATCTTTAAGGCATGAGAAGAAATTTTATATATATAATAAAGAATACGAATTATAGTCAGGTTGTTTTTCTTGACCGTGGACTTTAGTTGTCCTTCTGTGGTGTGGACTTTCCTTCACAAATGCGTGGGTGGTTGGTGGGTGCTCTGTTGTGGTTTGCTCCTTCGTTCCTATCAAACATGTTAATGTCCTGATCTCTCCTCCTTCTTTTTTTGTGTTTGTTACTCTCTTGTAACACCTCTAATCTTCGGCACTTATATGACCTTGTTGTGTTGCAAGCGCCGTAAAACTGTTACTAAAACTAAACTTCCACAAATGCAGTAGATGCAGTCATGAAATGATGCTGACAGCAGAAGTGTGACACAGAAGTAAGATATTCTCTCTCTCTCTCTGCCCTCCCTCCCTGCAGGTGGTGCCTGGGTGTTTGACTTTGCTCTCAAGTTCTACCCACCGGACCCCTCCCAGCTCAGGGAGAGTCTGACCAGGTAGGAGAACACACTGTTGGGCGACCTCTCTGCTTTCTAGTCGTATCTCCTATTATAACACATTTTTTTTACAGTGAAAATGTGACTTCTTCTTAAGCTCGCTCTTTGTTAAGAACTGTTTTCACACGTGGGTGGTTGGCGGGTGCTCTGGTGTGGTTTGCTCCTTCTTTCCTATCAAACATCTATCGTCCTTATCTCCCCTCCTTCTTTTTTGTGTTTGTTACTCTCTTGTAACACCTCTAATCTTCTGGCGCTCATATGACCTTATGCAGTTGCGAGTGCCGTAAAACTCTTACTAAAACTAAAACTAAACTGTTTTCACTGTTATTAAAAATGGAGATATGACAAGAAAGTACTGGGGTCACGGTTTGTGAAAGTGTTTCCTTACTGACACTTCCGAATTGCCGAGGCCAGTTTTAATTTCTCCGAGTTTCTTGATAATGGTATTGTGGTCTGTGATGTGACGGCTAAGCGCTTGGCTGTCGCACACAGGAGACGCGAGCGAGGTCGATGTTTTGTGCCTTTTTTCTCTCTCTGTGGGTGGTTGGTGGGTGCTCTGGTGTGGTTTGGTTTGCTTCTTCTTTCCTATCAAACGTCTATCGTCTTTATCTCCCCTTCTTCTTTTTTTTAAATGTGTGTTACTCTCTTGTAACACCTCTATTCTTCTGATGCTCATATGACCATATGCTGTTGGGAGCGCTGTGAAACTTACTTACTTTCTCTCTCTCTCTTTTTTATTGTTGTTGTTGTTGTTGTTGTACTGTTCAATAGTGAATGAATTTTCCTGCATTTTGATGGATAACATATTTGAGCTTTAATCAACAGAAGAAATTTAAAAAAGAATTATAGTTAAAGTTTCTGAGAGAGAAATGGCATAGTCACCTTGAGGAAAGTTGTCAGGGTGGAAAGGGTTAAGTTAATTGATAAAACCATGGGCAATATGAAGTCAGAAGTGTTGTCATTATCTCCCTTTGTTTTTGAACATTTTGGGCTGATGCTGTATTGTGTATGATTTGTTCAGTTTATTTTCCATTTGTCACATTCAATTCATGTAGCAGATTTTTTCTCCTTCCCCCCCCCCCCCCCCCCACCCCACGATCTAAACACCTGTCCTGTCGGCTGTGGGTGGCAGTTGAATGACAGTTTTTCTTGTTTTTCTCTCTGCACAGATGGCTTGTGGTTCTCCAGATTCGCAGAGACTTGTTGAGTGGAAGGTAATGTAGTCTGCTTTTGGGGAATTTTTATTACGCTCGATGATATTTATGCACATAACCGGCGTCTGTGGTATAAAAGTTAGGGGCTTTTTTGTGGCATGCACGGAGGAGATGCGTGGAAAGGGACATGAGAGAAATGAAGCTCACTTGGGACGAGCTTGGAAGGATGGCTCAGGACAGAGATAAATGAAAGGAGCTTGTATGTGGCCTATACCCTGCCAGGGGTGAAAGGCATTGATGATGATGATGACGACTAAAAACACCTACATTAGAAAGAAAAAAATAAATAAAAAATGTTTATGCCTGTCAACGTACAAGAGTGCTGGCAAGTGGCAAGGAATTGTCCTTAAAGAACAATACTCTGTGGCTGTAATTAGTTAAAGAAAAAAACATTCTATATACCTGACTCTGTGGGCACTGAGTTTTGTCAACTTTTTGAATACTTGTCCAGTCCAAATTGTCAAGGGCAGCCACCCGTTGTCAAGGAGAAAAGTGGCCGTCTCAGACAGGTGGAGGTCTTGCACAGTGTCTTTGTAATTTTAAAAATATGTAAGGGTTGAAATGGGCAGTGGCTGTTTGTACAAGTGATTGTCTTATACAGGTGGCCATTTGTACATGTGATTGTCTTATACAGGTGGCCGTTTGTACAGGTGATTGTCTTATACAGGTGGTCGTTTTTACAAGTGGTTGTCTTATACAGGTGGCTGTTTGTACAGGTGGCTGTAAGAGCAGGTTGGACACTGTATTTGCTTGTTAGTTGAAAGTTACCTGACTGAAGTAAGCCTAACTGTTTGTCAGCGCAGTTCTGGGTGTTCGATAGGATTCCTCTCAGCTAAAAAAGCTAAGTTGTGACCAGATCTAGGACAAAAAGAGAGAGAGGGCTTGTGTTTAGTGGGAAGGTTGGCCCAAATGACTATCTTACTGCTCCATATACCTCGATAAAATTGGAGCTCTCTAATTTAAACATTTTTGGTGCGCTAATATGACCTTATGTAGTTGCGTGCGCCGTAAAACTCTTACTAAGCTAAACTAAAAAATTTTGCTGGTCAAAAAACTCTGATCAGATTTGCATAACACTTTTTAAAAATCATGGGTGGTTGGCAGATGCTCTGGTGTGGTCTGCGCCTTCTTTCCTATCAAACGTCTATCGTCCTTATCTCCCCTTCTTCTTTTTTATGTTTGTTACTCTCTTGTAACATCTCTAATCTTCTGGCGCTCATATGACCTTATGCAGTTGTGAGCGCCGTAAAACTCTTACTAAGGTACGCTAAAAAATTTTGCTTGTCAAAAAACCCTGATCAGATTTGCATAACACAAAACAAAACTGTTGTATGTTCCAGACTGCCGTGCACATTCACCACGTACGCCCTGCTGGGCTCGTACAACGTGCAGGCAGACGTGGGCGAGTACGACCCCAGCGACCACGGCAACTCGCACGACTACATCCGCAACATGTCGTTTGCCCCCAACCAGACTCCGGAACTCCTGGAGAAAATTGCCGAACTCCACAAGCAACACAAGTAAGTAAGACGCCGCCACTGTCTCTCTCCTTGCCTGGTGTTGAAAGTGCTGTAAAACTCCTGCTTCAATCATCAAACCTCTTTCTACACTGTGTTGAAAGTGCTGTAAGACTCCTGCTTCAATCATCAAACCTCTCTCTACACTGTGTTGAAAGTGCTGTAAAACTCCTGCTTCAATCATCAAACCTCTCTCTACACTGTGTTGAAAGTGCTGTAAGACTCCTGCTTCAATCATCAAACCTCTCTCTACACTGTGTTGAAAGTGCTGTAAAACTCCTGTTTCAATCATCAAACCTCTCTCTACACTGTGTTGAAAGTGCTGTAAGACTCCTGCTTCAATCATCAAACCTCTCTCTACACTGTGTTGAAAGTGCTGTAAGACTCCTGCTTCAATCATCAAACCTCTCTCTACACTGTGTTGAAAGTGCTGTAAGACTCCTGCTTCAATCATCAAACCTCTCTCTACACTGTGTTGAAAGTGCTGTAAGACTCCTGCTTCAATCATCAAACCTCTCTCTACACCGTGTTGAAAGTGCTGTAAAACTCCTGTTTCAATCATCAAACCTCTCTCTACACTGTGTTGAAAGTGCTGTAAGACTCCTGCTTCAATCATCAAACCTCTCTCTACACTGTGTTGAAAGTGCTGTAAGACTCCTGCTTCAATCATCAAACCTCTCTCTACACTGTGTTGAAAGTGCTGTAAGACTCCTGCTTCAATCATCAAACCTCTCTCTACACTGTGTTGAAAGTGCTGTAAGACTCCTGCTTCAATCATCAAACCTCTCTCTACACTGTGTTGAAAGTGCTGTAAGACTCCTGCTTCAATCATCAAACCTCTCTCTACACTGTGTTGAAAGTGCTGTAAAACTCCTGTTTCAATCATCAAACCTCTCCGTGCCCTGTGTTGATAGTGCTGTAAAACTGAATTGTCTTTAGGCCATTCCCAAAGGGGGGATATTAACATGTTCTTTTGCACAGTAGAGTTGTAAATGGGCTGATTCAACAATACAATGTCGTGCCCATAACTGTGCTTGAACTGTGATAGGGAACTGCTGCTTTTTCTTTCCTAACCCTTACTATCGTCATTTTCCCTCTACTTCAATTGTATGTTTGTCACACTCTTGTGACCCGCTATTTCTGGGGTGCCTCGATAGTCGAAACAGACTTTGTGCGTGGTTGGTTGGCGGGTGCTCTGGTGTGATTTGCTTCTTCTTTCCTATCAAACATCTATCGTCCCTTCTTTTTTATGTATGTTACTCTCTTGTAACACCTCTAATCCTCTGGCACTCATATGACCTTATGCAGTTGCGAGCGCCGTAAAACCCTCTATGAAAAAAAAAAAAGACTTTGTGCTGTTGAAGCTAAAGAGGTGAGCAGAGTAAGCCTGATTCCTTGTAAGGACTTCTCTGTTGACATCTGCCCCTTGGCACTCATGTGACTTTATGCAGTTGCAAGCGCCGTAAAACCTCTACGAAAACTTTTTTTAAAACTTACCTAAATCTCTGTGGGTGGTTGGCGGGTGCGCTGGTGTGGTTTGCTCCTCTTTTTCTATGAAACATCTGTCGTCCTGATCTCTCCTTCTTTTTTGTGTTTGTTACTCTCTTGTAACACCTCTAATCTTCGGCGCTCATATGACTTTATTGTGTTGCAAGTGCCGTAAGACTCTTACTAAAACTAAACACCCTTAGTCTTTGTCTTGTCTCGTTGTGGGCTGGCATCTCTTGTGTGTGTCTGATCCACTAAAACTCACTAAATCTAAAACTTGACCTTTCTCCATCAGAGGCCAGACTCCGGACGAAGCGGAGAAATGTTTTCTGGACAACGCCAAGAAGCTGTCCATGTACGGCGTTGACCTTCACAAGGCCAAGGACGCGGACAACAACGCTGTCATGCTGGGCGTCTGCTGCTCCGGCCTGCTCATCTACCGTGACAAGCTGCGTATCAACCGCTTTGTCTGGCCCAAGATCCTGAAACTGTCGTACAAACGGCACCACTTCTACATCAAGATCAGGCCCGGGGAGGTGAGTCGCTGTTGCGGGCTAGAGACTTGTCTGAACTGTCGGAGTAATGATACAATGTGAATTAAACATTGAAAATGTGACTTCTTCTTAAGCCCACTCTTTGTTGTGAACTGTTTTCATTGTTATTAAAAATGGAGATACAACAAGAAAGCATTGAGGTCGCGAACTGTCGGAGTAATGATAAGTGATGCGCATGTCGACCTGTACGTACACCTCTGAGTCTTTCCGTCAGGATGTTATATCCCTCTCAGCCTGGGTTAGTCCTGATAGGCAGGGTCGGAAGATTACCTTCAAAATGATCTGAATTGCATTGACAGCATTAAAAAAAACCCTACATTAAGTTAATATTATGTATGTATTTTAAAAAAAGTTAATTAAAAGTGTACATTAACATTTTTTCCCCAGTTGGAACGAGGAGAAGCAACCATCATGTTCAAGTTGGACAACCACAGATTAGCCAAACGTCTGTGGAAGACCTGCGTGGAGCACCACGCCTTCTTCAGGTGAGGCTTTGGCAGCAGTGTCGTCCTTTTTACCGCAGCCAGGTGACCGAGTTCAGTCTCCACACCTGCTCATTCTCTCATGTTTTTAAGTTTAAAAAAAAAGGAAAGGTAACCTCCCAGTCATATTCCAATTAAGAAAAGATAGATCAAATAAGATAAGATACATCTTTATTGTCCAGATCCTGGCACATTGGTTTGGTGTTTCACCACGTGTACACACACACGCACACGCACACACACACATGCACACACACGTAGGCTTACAATCACATGCATAATATAAATGAGCAGCAATATAAATAATAATAATTGTAAGCTAGAAACAGGATGGTGAAAGAAAGTGTCTTTAGAGTCGTGGCCAATTGAGCAGGGTTTTTTTTTCCTTTTCTTTCCTGAGATGGACCATAATTTTACAAGCTGGTTTGATTCTTCTTCCAGCAACAAGTGTGAGCAGCAGCAGCAGTGATTGTCTGTTGGTGCTCTGATGTGGTTTGCTTCTTTTTTCCTATCAAACATCTATCGTCTTTATCTCCCCTCGTTCTTTTTGTGTTTGTTACTCTCTTGTAACACCTCTAATCTTCTGCACGTGTATGACCTTACTGTGTTGCAAGTGCCGTTAAACTCTTGCTAAATCTAAAGGATGTTCTGTGCACTGATGTGTAACGTTTGTATTCTCCACAGATTGAGAGAAGCAGAAAAGCCGGCCAACAACGTGTCCTTCCCCCGGTTTGGTTCGAAATTCCGTTATTCGGGAAGGACTCTGTACCAGACGCGGCAGACCGCGGCCCTGCTCGACCGACCCCCGCCCTTCTTTGAGCGCTCGCAGCCCGCGAGAAACACCATCGCAGACGCAGGAAACCGCTCCCGCAGTATGGATGAGTGTAAGTGAAGATATAGTCTAGCGTCACGCAGTATGGACGAGTGTAAGTGAAGATGTAGTCTAGCATCACGCAGTATGGACGAGTGTAAGTGAAGATGTAGTCTAGCATCACGCAGTATGGACGAGTGTAAGTGAAGATATAGTCTAGCATCACGCAGTATGGACGAGTGTAAGTGAAGATATAGTCTAGCATCACGCAGTATGGACGAGTGTAAGTGAAGATAGCGTCACGCAGTATGGACGAGTGTAAGTGAAGATAGCGTCACGCAGTATGGACGAGTGTAAGTGAAGATATAGTCTAGCATCTCGCAGTATGGACGAGTGTAAGTGAAGATATAGTCTAGCATCTCGCTGTATGGACGAGTGTAAGTGAAGATATGTGAGACAGCATGCCGAAGTCAGGCGCTCGGCAAAATAATGCAAGTGAAAAAAAAAGGCCTTTTTTTGTGTGCAGGTTTGGGGATTTTTATCGAATTTTTTTTTTTGCCTTACACCTTCTGTGTCCATGAAACAACACATTTCTGAATGGATTTTATTGAAAAACATTGATTAAAAGCACCAAAAATGTCACTTTTCAGTTTCCACACATTCTCAAGCTATGGAAATAACTAAACTTTGGCAGCCATTTTCTTCAACATTTTACCTCTGAAACCAGGTGACCCCCACCTCCATCAATTGCCAATATCTCGACTTGTATCCTAGATAAATGGATATTTTTAAAATCGAAAACAAGACAAGTGAACCAGCTTTAACATGATTCAAAATATCCACATGTCCAAAAATTGATGAGCGCCTGATTCCACTGCTTTGCGACACATATAGTCTAGCACGCACTCAGTGAAAGCACACATAGGGAATGCGCTCATTGCAAACACACACACACGTAGCAAAAAGATCTTAAGATCAGAAATGGCTTTGTCAGTAATATCTCTGTCAGTAATGCAATAATCTCTTTGTCAGTAGGTAATATCTGTCAGTAATGCAATAATCTCTTTGTCAGTAGGTAATATCTGTCAGTTATGCAATAATGTCTCTGTCAGCAATACCTCTGTCAGTACTGCAGTAATGACTTTGTCAGTAGGTAATATCTGTCAGTAATGCAATAATGTCTCTGTCAGTAATGCAATAATCTCTTTGTTAGTCGGTAATATCTGTCAGTAATGCAATAATCTCTTTTGTCAGTAGGTAATATCTGTCAATTATGCAATAATCTCTTTGTCAGTCGGTAATATCTGTCAGTTATGCAATAATGTCTCTGTCAGCAATATCTCTGTCAGTACTGCAGTAATGACTTTGTCAGTAATGTCTGGTCTTCTCTGTCTGTGCCAGTGGGCAACAGGAGAAGAAGCCGCGACGGCTACGACGACAGCATGTACGACCCCAACAGATCCAGCCGGGAGTATGACCCAACCAAACGGGACTCGCGAGACGGGAGGGACGGAAAGGGAGTGCCCACAGGTGGGTGGGGGTGTGAGAGAGAGAAGGTGGAGGGGGAGAGAGAGGGGAGGGGGGAGAGAGGAGAGGAGACGAGCGGGACGGGAGGGACGCAAAGGGAGTGCCCATAGGTCGTTGGGTGTGTGTTAGTGAGTGTGTGAGGGGGGTGGGTGTGTGTGTGTGTGTGAGTGAGTGTGTGAAGGGGGTGTATGTGAGTGAGTTAGTGAGGGGGATGGGTGGGTGTGTTGGAGGGGGAGAGAGACAGGAGGGAAGCAGAGGGAGTGTCCAAGGGTGGGGTTGGGGGAGGGGGAGTTTCAAAGGGAGTGTCCAAGGGTGGGGAGGGGGAGTTAAAGGAGTGCTCACACGTGTGTGTGTGTGTTACTCTGGAGTAACACCTCTAGTCTTCAGCACGTATATGATCTCATTTTGTTGCAAATGCTGAAAACTGCGACTATGGTCTGCTGTATCATTGGCATTGGCGTTGATTCAGTGGGTGGTTGGCGGGTGCTCTGGTGTTGTTTGCTCCTTCTTTCCTTTAAAAAGTCTATCTTCTCTATCTCCCCTCCTGTTTTATGTTTGTTACTCTCTTGTAACACCTCTAATCTTCAGCACTTATACGACCGTATTGAGTTGCAAGTGCTGTAAAACTCTTTCTAAAACGAACTAAAGCATTGACTCAAAAAAATTCACATACTTTGGGAGAAGAACACACTGTTCGAGTATGCTTGTGTGTGCGTTACTGGTATATGTACAACTGAACGTGAATGTGTTCGAGTGCATGTCTGTGTTGGTGCTGAATCTTTGTACCTTGATGTTCTGGTACATCCACCCAAATTTCCCTCCTGGGTCAATAAAGTCGATCTTGTCTTGTCTTGTCTTGTCTTGTCTTTCCTTATCTTACCTTCTCTTCTCTTATCTTACCTTATTTTGTCTTGTCTTACTTTGCCCTAAGATATCTTGTCTTGTCTTACCTTGCCCTAAGATGTCTTGTCTTGTCTTGTCTTACCTTGCCCTAAGATGTCTTGTCTTGTCTTACCTTCTCTTCTCTTATTTTGTCTTGTCTTACCTTATTTTATCTTACATATCTTATCTTACCTTACCTTACCCTACCTTGTCTTATCTTGCCTTATCTTACCCTACCTTGTCTTATCTTGCCTTACCCTACCTTGTCTTATCTTGTCTCATCTTATCTTGTCTTATCTTATCTTGTCTTATCTTATCTTATTGTCTGGAGAACAAAGTTTGTGACATCTGTTTACTGTTTGGGTTTCCAGCTTTCGAACAAGCGGACAGAACCAGAGATTCCCGTGGGGACGACGAAGGTGGCACGCTGCAGAAACGGCCGTACGACTCGGACACCGCCGATCGCAGGGACCGGGTGCCCAGTCAAGGGGTGAGTGAGATCGATCTTCTTTAGTTTGAGTTTTTTGTTACAGTTTTACAGCACTTGCTACTTGAATAGGTCGTACAAGTGCTGAAAGTTTGAGATTGAGATGGTGAAGTGCCAAATCTGAAAGCGATATTGACGATTGTGGTTTCTTACTAGAACTTGGGAGACATAGAACTCAATTGCAGTAGTGGACACGATAAGAAACTCCGTCTTTTCTCCCAGGGGTGAAGGGAAGGGTTGTGTTTTGCACTCAGAACCTGGTCTTTGTTTGGTACAGAGCATGTTTTAGTTTCTATTTATTTAAAGGAAAAATCTATTTTATGTCTTTTTCAATACATCAGACATGCAGGTTGGAAGCCCTCCTACTGAATGAGCTAAATTGTCTCAATGGAGGTGTAAAAACACCCTTTAAAAAAAATTTATTTTGTTTAAATCCAACCAGGATGCAACCTTGGAGCGTGACCGGCCTCGGGGTCAAGGTGACGACTCGATGGGCGTGCTGGCCGGGAACATTGACAACCAGGGCAAGCCCGAGACGGACAAGGAGAGGAGGAAACGAGAGAAGGAGGAGGACAAGAAGAGGAAAAAGGAGGCGGAGGAGAAGAAAAAGGCTGACAAGAAGAAAAAGGGCAAAGGAGCAGATCTGGACACTTCCGAAGACAGGGCTGACAAGAAGGTAAAGTTATTGTGGAAAAATGTGTGAGATAATAAAATTCCACTTTTATCCTTCAGAGTGAGGACATTTGGTTGGGGGGTAAGCGTTTTACTGTGCTCACAACCGCATAAGGTCATATGAGCCCGCGGGACACATTAACACATTTTCAGTTGGTAGGAAATTTTGAAGTTTGCCCGGGTGGCGGCCGAAGCCTATTCTTATTGATTTTTTGGACCACCAAGGGATCTTTTACGTGCGCTACTTGCCCACGGGACCTCCGAGGTTTTTCACTGTTTTCCGAGAAGGCTAGGTGTAGATCTTTCCTACCTTAAGATCTGGGGTGTGGTTGAAAGACTAACCTGTGTAGTTTTGTGGAGTTTATCAAAGCTCTCCATGCATTTGGCTCGGTCGTATCAGAGACAGGCCTTAAGTTCCGAGATCCCACCTCTTAAATAACCTAAGAGTGTTTTTTGGGGTTTGTTTTTTTATAGTAGAGGGTTTTACGGCGCTCGCAACTGCAGAAGGTCATATGAGCGCCAAGGGATGGGTGTCAGCAAAGAAGTCTTTACAGACAATCAGACTTGGACTGCTCACCTCTCTAGCTTCAATAGCACAAGGTCTGCTTCGACTATCAAGGCACGCCAAAATAGCAGGTCACAAGAGAGTGATAAACATACAAAAGAAGTAGAGGAAAATGACAATAGTAAGGATCAGGAAAGAAAAATCAGCAGTTCCCTTTTGTAGATCAGGCACAGTTATGAGCGTGACATGAGTCAGCCCATTTACAATTCTACTGTGTTTGAACAAGAAATGTCCCCAGGGCTGCCAACCCTTTCGATTTTTTCGTAATCATTATGATTTTTAGCCTCACTACAAAATTCCGATTGTAAGGCGATTTATTACAATTTTTACTGTCTTACTGTCTGCAGATTTTTGGCTATAAAAAAAATTATTTTTGGCTCTTTTAAAAATTATTTTACAACCCCCTCGCCCCCCTAAATAGTTAGCCTTGCCTACAATAATACCGTACATGAGTAGAAGCATAGAAGTAGAAGCATCTCTGCCAGGCTGCTGAGACCCAAGCAGTCTAAAAATAGATTTTATCGACCGTCCGACACATTGGTCCGACACGCGGCGTGAGACGGTGTGCCTTCACCTGCTCGCTTCACCCTTTTTCCGTAATTAAGACATATTTTTGTTCGTTGTAATATAATATAGTAATTTGAAAATGAGAACACTATGACTAATTTTTTGGGGGAAATTACAAATTTTCTTCATGGTCATTACTAAAATCCATGGAGATGGGTTGGCACCCCTTTGGGAATGGCCTAAAGAAACTTCAGTCCGTGGCACTGGCCCGGGGGGGGGGTAGTGTTTTCCATGGGCGTAAAAAGGCGTACACTGACTGGGTTGTTGTTTTTGTTTCACTCAGGGTCCAAATGATGCTACAGAAACAGCTTTCGGAGTTGGGCCGGGCTACGCTGGGTTAGACGTGAGTATTCTCTCGATCCCGTGTTTCCTGTTCCGTGTCCCTTAGGAGTCCCCGATGTTGTTTTCCTTCCCTGTTTGAAATGTACAGATGTTCTGTTGTTGACGCGTTGACTTTGAAATACTACCACACCATTTTGAATTCCCCAGACAGATGGCAAATGTCTTTCTGTTGTGGCTAATTTAGTTCCAACACCTCGCGACCCCAGTGCTTTCTTGTCGTATCTCCATTTTTAATAACAGTGAAAACAGTTCATATAACAAAGAGTGAACTTAAGAAGATATCACATTTTCACTGTTTAAAAAAAATGGAGATACGACAAGTAAGCACTGAGGTCGCAACCTTCTCCGACAATTTTTACATTTGTTGTATATGTGCATCAGTGGTTGAACGGCATGTATACGTGTTGCAAGTGTTTGTTTTTTATTAACCAGAGTTGACGTGTTTGGTTGATACGTTTTGTGTTTGGTTGATACGTTTTGCCGGTTTGCTAGCCTTCGTTCGTTTGTTTGTTTGTTTGTGTTGATTAAGTTTGTACTGGAAAGCATGTTCCCAGCTGTGTGTATAATTGTTTAGATATTTTAAGTGGCATGAGTTTGACGATTTGTTGTTTGCGTCTTAAATCGTTTCACTTTATTTAAAGTTGTTTCCAGTATTGGAAAGTCTTTGACTTCTTGGTTGGGAGTCGGAGACAATGAACAAATTGTGTGTCTGCGTTAGGAAGAATGTTATAGGAGGTAACTAGAGATGTACAACACACACCCATTCATCGGTGTTTTGCTTCATCCTCTAATGTTCCCATGTCACCTTTGCATTCCCTCCCCACACACAAATCTAATGAAGGACAAAGATGCACAGCCTCTGTATGACAAAGAAGGAAGACCCCTGTATGACAATGAGGGCAAACCCCTCTATGGGCCGCTCCTTGTCAAGGACGGACAACCCTTGTACGACAGAGGTGGCCGACCGCTCTTTGACAAAGACGGAACCCCGTTGTACGACACGGAGGGGAAGCCACTCTTCGACAACGAGGGCAAGCCACTGTACGGGCCACTGTACGACCGAGGTGGCGAACCCCTCTACAGCAAAGACGGGACACCTGTGGTCGACTACGAGGACCGGCCGCTGTATGATCACGACGGGAAACCGCTCTTCGCCAACGACGGGAAACCGCTGTATGGGCTGCTGTATGACCGAGGTGGGAGGCCGGTCTATGGACCCCAGTACGACCGGGACGGGGCTCCTTTGTACGACCCTCTGTACGACAAGGATGGGAAACCGTTGTACGGCAATGACGGACGACCCCTGTACGGTCCCGTCTTCGACAAAGATGGCCGCCCCGTTTACGGGCCGCTGTACGACAATGAAGGGAAGCCTCTGTACGACAACGAGGGAGGACCTCTGTACGGGCCTTTCTGTGACCAGGACGGGAAGCCGCTCTACGACAAAGACGGGCGGCCGCTGTACGACCGGGACGCCAAGCCGCTTTACGACAACGATGGCCGACCGCTGTACGGGCCTTTGTTTGACCAGGAGGGAAAACCACTTTACGACAAAGATGGCCGACCCACGCACGGACCTGTCTACGACAACCACGGCAAACCCGTGGTGGCGAGCAAAGACGGAGGGCGGGTGTACGGGCCTCTCTTCGACAAAGACGGGAGGTCGGTGTACGGGCCGCTGTACGACAAAGATGGGAAACCTCTGTACGACGAGGCCGGGACAGCTCTGTCGGGGCCGCTGTACGACAACAGTGGGAGGCCGCTGGGAGATAACGGCGGGCGACCTCTGTACGGGCCCTTCTACGACAAGGACGGGAAACCCATCTACGACAAAGACGACAAGTCTCTCTACGACAAAGAGGGAAGGCCGCTGTTCGGTAATGACGACAGACCCCTGCACGGGCCGCTGTACGACCGAGATGGGAAGCCGCTGTACGACAAAGATGGCCGACCGGAGCACGGACAGGTGTACGACAAGCACGGGAAACCCCTGGTGGATAAAGACGGGAAACCGTTGTACGCCCCAGTATTTGATAAAGACGGGAGATCTGTGTCAGGGCCCCTGTACGACAAAGATGGCAAACCTTTGTATGACAAAGATGGACGACCCCAGTTTGGGCCACTTTACGACAGAGATAGCAAACCTCTTTACGATAATGATGGAAAACCGTTGTACGGACCCTTTTTCACCAAAGATGGCAAAGATGACAAGTCCCTCTACGACAAGGAAGGAAGGCCACTCTTCGGTAATGACGACAGACCCCTACACGGGCCGCTCTATGACAGAGACGGGATGCCGCTGTACGACAAAGATGGCCGACCGGAGCACGGACCGGTGTACGACAAGCATGGGAAACCCCTGGTGGATAAAGACGGGAAACCGTTGTACGCCCCAGTGTTTGGTAAAGACGGGAAATCTGTGTCAGGGCCCCTGTACGACAAAGAGGGCAAACCTTTGTATGACAAAGATGGACGACCCCAGTTTGGACCACTTTACGACAGAGATAGCAAACCTCTCTACGATAATGATGGGAAACCGTTGTACGGACCCTTGTTCACCAAAGATGTCCGACCGGTGTCGGACACAGAGGGCGAGCCACTGTACGACAAAAATAGACGGCCTTTGTCCGACAATGCCGGCAGACCCCTGCAGGGACCTCTGTTCAACAGGGAAGGCAAGCCGCTGTTCGATAAGGAGGGGAGGCCACTGTGCGGGCCCATGTTTGACAAAGACGGGAAGCCCAAGTGTGACAAAGACGGGAAACCCGTTTATGGGCCCGTCTATGACAAAGACGGGAAACCGCTCTACGACAATGACGGGCGACCCCTGGTGGGGCCGATGTACGACCGCAACGGTAATCCTCTCTTTGACAACGACGGAAGACCCATGTACGCCAAGGACGGGAAACCCATGTACGGGCCGTTGTACGACACGAGCGAGAAGCCACTGTACGATAACGACGGGCGACCCCTGTGTGGGCCCGTCTACAACAAAGACGGCAAGCCCATCTGTGGACAGCTCTACGACAAGGATGGGAAACCCCTCTACGGAAACGACGGGCGGCCATTGTTTGCGCCTCTGTACGACCAAGATGGCCGACCCTTGTACGACAAAGATGGCCGACCACTCCTGGACAAAGATGGGCGACCCGTGTACGGGCCCCTGTACGACAGAGATGGGAAACCCTTGTACGACAACGAAGGGAAGCCTCTGTACGGGCCCTTGTACGACCGAGATGGAAAACCGTTGTACGACACGGAAGGAAAAGCCCTGTGTGGGCCCTTGTTTGACAATGAGGACCGCCTGCTGGTCGCCAACGACGGACGCCCTCTGTACGGCCCGCTCTACCACCAAGATGGACGGCCCATGTTTGACAAAGACGGGGAGCCTCTCTACGACAGAGACGGGCGACCGGTGTACGGCCCGTGGTACGATCGAGACGGAACGCCGCTCTACGACAACGAAGGCCGACCCCTCGAAGGCCCCCTGTACGACCCTGAAGGAAGGCCCCTCTACGGCCCCGTGTACTCGAAGGTCTTCCCTTACGGCAAAGACGGACGAGACTCCGACAAGAAAAAGGGCCGAGGCAAAGATACCCCAGACAAGGACAAAAAGAAGGGCGGTCTTTTCGGCCGGCTGAAGAAGGGAAAGCCATCCGAGGGCGATGAGGAAGACGGAAGGGACAGCCCATTTGGCAAAGCAGACAAGGTTCTTATTTTTATTTCGGTCTTTTTTTTTTTCCTTCCCAGCTTGGCAGCTGCACTTGTACAGTGCTGCTCTCTCCTCACTCACACTGTAGCCGCTGTAGTCTAGTGTTTTCCACATATATATATACATATATATATCCACATATAT